TTTGTATTTAAAACAAAAGCTGCAAAGCTTATAAAATGAATACTAAAATAAGAAAATAGACTAAGCTTAATACCTTGTAGTCCTTGCTGGTGTCTTTTCAATTTGCTGGTGTTTTTGCTTTAGCTGGAGATTTGACTGGTGTTTTTGCCTTAGCTGGAGATTTTGCTGGTGTTTTTGCCTTTGCAGGTGATTTAACTGGTGTCTTCACCTTCTTCACTGATTTTGTGGCAACATTCTAAAACAAAAACTTGACGTGAAATTTCAATGTTATGTAAGTAAATTTTGTAGAATAATAGTATGTGCTCCATGCAAGACCTAAAATATTTCAACAAATGAGAACAAGATGGTTTTTTTTTTTTTTTGTTTTTTTTTTTACTTTAAAACAATTTTTTTACCATATTTTATAATCAAGTATCAAAATAACAAATGAAAATTTGACTAAAGACATAAAAAAGATGAGCTAGAATTTACGGTACCACTTGGTCATTTTTTAAGTTAGGGTGAAATTGTGACCCCAAAATCAACAAGAGGGCCATGATGGCCCTGAGGTCGCTCACCTGTATATAGGCCCCCCCCCACCCCCCCCCCCCCAACGTTGCAGGGCCAATTTAACCCAAGGGTTTTATTTGCACAAATTTGGTAGACACCCATAAGAAGATGTTTCATGCTAAACATCTAAGCTCTAGCTCATTGGGCTTTTTAAAAGAAGATTTTTTTAAAGTTTTTACTACACACATATAGTTAAAAACAATGACACCCCTGGGGCCGGGCCAGTTTTGACCCCAAGGCTTTTATTTGAACAAACTTTGTAGACACTTACTAGAAGATGTTTCATGCTTAATATCTAAACCCTAGCTATTTGGGTTTTTTCAAAGAAGATTTTAAGTTTTTGCTATACACATACAAAGAAAATCAATGACCCCCGGGGCGGTGCCAATTTTGACCCCAGGGCTTTTATTTGAACAAACTTGGTAGACACCTATTAAAACATGTTTGATGCTAAATATCTTAGCCATAGCTCTTTGAGTTCTTTAAAAGAAGATTTTTTAAGTTTTTACTATATGCATATAGGGAAAATCAATGACCCCCAAAGGCAGGGTCAACTTTGACCCCAGGGCTTTTATTTGAACAAACTTGGTAGACACTTATTAGAACATGTTTAATGCTAAATATCTTAGCTCTAACTCTTTTGGTTCTTTAAAAGAAGATTTTTTAAGTTTTTACTATATGCATATAGGGAAAATCAATGACCCCCAGGGGCGGGGCCAATTTTGACCCCAGGGCTTTTACTTGAACAAACTTGGTAGACATCCATTAGAACATATTTCATGCCAAATATCTAATCTCTAGCTATTCGGGTTCTTTAAAAGAATTTTTTTTAAGTTTTGACTATATGCATATAGAGAAAATCAATGACCCCCAGGGGCGGGGCCAATTTTGACCCCAGGGCTTTTATTAGAAGAAACTTGGTAGACATCCATTAGAACATATTTCATGCCAAATATCTAATCTCTAGCTCTTCGGGTTCTTTAAAAGAATTTTTTTTAAGTTTTTACTATATGGGCATTTTTCAAAAAATGTGCAAATTCTTGTCCCACAGCTATTTTCATAATTATTTTACATAATTTATTATAAATATGCATTTTTCTTTTACTGTGTATTCATCTAATATATCATTAATAATTTACACAGATTCTTCTGATATAACAGATAATGCTGTCCGGATATTATTGATTAAAAATATTTCTTGTATAGTAAAATTAAAGGTGTCACAATTTAAAAAAATAACATTGTACTGAAACTGTTAGCACTTAAATATATAAAAATAGAAGAACATTTATATTTTCTAAGTAATTCATAGACAAAACAAGATTTCTTTTAAATAAAAGACAACCTTATTTGTATATTATCATATTTTTTTTAAATTCCAAATTTGTCCCATATTTGATTTCCATCCTGTCACAACAGAGAATTGTTTTTCCATAAACAATTATTAGTCCCTCTAACTTCCTGATTTATGTGTACAGAAGTAGTCTCCCTTTTCAAAAACAAAACGGTGCATCAAGAACAGTCATTGTTGGCGCATAGATGATTTTTCCATGAAAATAATTGCTGACGGACAAGGTGAGTACATCTTAAATTTCCTTCCTGTCACTGTCTTTTTGGAGGCATAACTAGTCATAAAACCTTTCTTCTATTTACCATGTTTTGGTACATGATGTGCATTTTAAATTTTTCCCTCCACATGAACTTGAAAAGGGACCAGTTATTATTTTTATTGTTTTTAATCATTTATTTTCCATACTGTCACATTCCATTCTGTCACATTGAAATTTTGTGACAGGAAAGAATGTTTCTGTGACAGGAAAGAAAAATGAAATAAAATTATGTTAAATATTGTTAAATAATGTTTTATTTTAAAATATATCTAAAGCCCAGTGATTTTGTAACAAAAACATACATATTACCAGTACACAACCCAGAGCAACACCATTCGCCTGCTTTTGAACTGACTACAATGTTTTGTTTTATTAAATATATATGTAATTGCCCCCATTTATGATTAAAGTACTACATTATCTTTAAAAAATTACATATAGATTCTTATTGATTAACCAGAGTTGCAATGGTTTTCAATATTGTTATCGCTAACATTTTATTATGCCCTGATGGAGTATTTGGAGAATTATTGTTTTTGTCCCATCCTGGTCTGTAGGTCTGTCTGTCTGTCTCAAAAGTTCAACTTAGTTTATTATTTTCTCATTACTTGACCTCCAAATGAGCTTTTTTTGGATAGCATAAATTTGCAAAAACTCCTAAAAAAAAATAGCATTGTATATTTCTTAAGACATGACCTCAGTAAAACTCAGTACATATGACCTTCACCTACTAATGACCTTAACCTTTAAAGTAAAGATGTTCAAAAGGTCACCCAAAAACTTTTAACATTGTTTTAATTCCCTTATTAGCTGACAGATTCTTTTCATTTTCACACACACATTATTCCTTGTTTTAGGTATAAAATGGCATTGGCTGCAGAGCATGCACGTTGATACAGACAGAGAAGGGACGCTGATTCACAGAAAAGGGCATCTTCCCTTATACTCTGTTTATCCAGAACTGGGAAACCCCATTGTAAGGCAGCATCTACATCCGATGATCGTACCCAGCCTAGACTTCAATCTTCACAGACCACAGTTCATATCATGTGGACTCAGTACAAGGAGTGATATGCTTGACAAGAACTGGGTACCGAATCATTTTGCACCCTTGATACCCATTGCTCCACCTGATTCTGATGATGCAGTAGAGCCCTCTATTCCAACCTCTTCAGACACGAACTCAAGCAAAACAGTTTTTACAGAAAATACTTTGTTATTGCTCAACACATCTGTGCTGTTAGGTATCATGGAAAACCCTACCCTGGGCAAGTAATTGATGTGAGCGAAAGTGAAGTTTTTTTGAAGATTTTTGGATGGCAAATTTAGATTCAGTTAAATAGAATTGAGTAAAAGTTTGTGCATTTGGTAAACCTACTGTTTTGAAATGGATCCCTCTTTGCATTATAAACAAGTATACCAAGTTTTAAGTGGATATCAGTGATATTGTTTTGTGAAATGAACACAAACCACAGTTTTGAAAGTTAAATAAGAGCAATAATTTTAGTCAAGTATTTTAAGGTTACACACCTCTTCAAAATAGATTCATTTTTTGATAATGAGCTATTACTCCAATTAAGTTAAACAACTTTGTAGAAAGAATATTTTGGTTACCTGCCTTTTTGAAATGGATCCTCCTTTTGATATTGAACAAGAGTTGTAAGTTCAAAGTGGATACCTTTAAAAGGTTTTTAAGACAGTAAAACCAATTAAATACAAGGCAGTCTGAAGGACAGCTAAATTCCCTTCCACAGTGAACATGATGTGAACTTCTTGACCTTTTACCAGCCACGACCTTAATGTTATGCCATGCATATCATAAGCACATAGATTCATGATGGTGATTTTTTTTGCCATGTTATTTAAAATCTTCCATAAAGTAAAAGAAAAGTTATGGAGAGCATACAACCTTGACCTTGGGGTAGCAACCTGGATGTTGAACTCTGCAGATTGTGTCATGGTTGTGATCATTTGTGCCAAGTAATTTCACAACCCTTGAATTGTCTATAAGTTATAGAGCGGACATGAAAAATAGATGCTTTTTACATTGGACCTTTGATTGTGACCCTGACCTTCAGGGTTGTGACTTGATTATTGTGCTCTGCCAATGGTGTCATAATGGTAATCATTTCTGCCAAGTTAATTATCTTAAAAACATTGCAGCGGTTTTAAGGTTATGGAGCGGATACAATTGTACGTCTTTTAACACTTGACCTTTAAATGTGACCTTGACCTTGGGGAAAGCAACCAAATTATTGCGCTCTGCACATTGTCTCATAATGGTGATCACTTGTGCCAAGCTATTAAAAAAAAACAACAGAGGTTTAAAAGTTGTGGAGGGGGATATGAAATGTAGACTTTTATACATTTGACCTTTAAGTGTGACCTTGACCTTTTGGGTAGCAAGCCATTATTGCGCTCTGCATGTTGTCTTATAATTGGGATCAGTTGTGACAAGTTATGTTAAGTATATGGAGCGGATACGAAATGTAGACTTTTTATTATGAAATGAAGACTTTTTAACATTTGACCTTTAAGTGTGACCTTGACCTTGGGGGTAGCAACCCAATCATTGCATAATGCACATCGTCTCAAGTTGTTTTAAAGAATTAAAGCAGTTAAAAAGTTATGGAGCGGACACGAAATGTAGATTTTTATTATGAAATGAAGACATTTTAACATTTGACCTTTAAGTGTGACCTTGACCTTGGGGGTAGCAACTTAATTTTTGCGCTCTCCATATCGTCTCTTTATGGTTACTACTTGTGCCAGGTTATTTCAAGAAATTTTCAGTGGCTTAAAAGTTATGGTGCTGACATGAAAGTGTTACGGATGGACAGACAGACTGACAGACGCCATTCCTATAATCCTCTTTCTGCTACGTGGAAGGGGATTAATAATTAAAGGCGTAGCTGAAATAATATTTTTTCCTTCAAAGTAGTTTGTAAAGCCAAGCTAATAAAATATGCAAGTTTAAAGAATGTTTTCTTACATGCCACCAAAATAATGTACAGTTTCTTCACACTTATTAAAGAGTTTGTTGCTATACACTATACTGTCACTAGCATGTCCATTG